AATAGGAAAAGGCCAAAGCTTCAAGATAACTCAAGTTCACATAATTCTCTCCCACACATTCTTGAGAAGTATCAAACTTGAACATTCTCTCAGCATACTTATGGTCACATTACAGACATTAAAAGCACAAAATTTTCTTGTAATATGTACACATTCAGATATGTAGGCAAAAATGTTTTATTGTAAAAATGACAATGATACAGTGAATTGGTCTAATAATAGTAGAAATCTGAAGTGAAATTTTAATCTTGAGTTTCTAGACTATCTTTACTCAACCTCCACTTCAACATGGAAATTCTATTCACTTGCATTTTTAAAATATTTAGAAAATCAAAGCTAGGGAAAGCTATTTTTAAAAGGTGACTGAAATATGTACTGAAAACATGATCATAAGTTTATAAATCTTAAAATATAATTTCTAATTGTTCATACAAATAGGACAGGGAAATACAATTTGAATACATACTCTAATTTGTTACCTGATACATTTCTTTTCCAAAAAGGTAATCCCAAACTTGTCTTTGAACATCCCAATTCACCAAGTAGCCCTAAAAAATATTTTTATAAATTTAATTATCAAGAATATTTGTGAATTTTTAAAAAATCAGAATAATATATTCTAAATCACTGGTTTCTATCTCTTTATGGTTACCTTCTCCAGTCTAATGATGCATGAATTTCAAACCAATTATACTGGTATGTTTTTCTCCTTTTAAAAGTTCAAAAAATTACAAATAAACAATAACTAAAACGTCAAGGGTTCAAAAGACACACCAACATATAGAGATGCCTCTCTAAACTTATTTTCTTAAATTAATGTATGTACATCACTTAGATTTAACATAAGTAAAATTCAGTACTCACAACCTGTAACTAAATCATGGTCATTTGTTTTTACCAAAACAATTTTATTTTGATTTTTGGTTTTAATTAGATCTTAGTTAAAAATTTTTAAATCACCTTTTCTTAGAGATCTAAAAATATTTCATACACACACACACAGCCTTAGACACACAATAAAAGACTACCTTTAAATTTAGGTCTACAATGCTAGAAATGATACATAATTGTATTACCTTTTGAAAAGGAAGGATGTAAAAGAGTCCAGAAGGGTCTTTTATTTCATCTATCTGGTTAGCCGTAAAAGTTTTAAGACGTGCCGTTTTTGACCTGAACTGACAGTTAGGAATGACCCTAGAAACAAACAAATAATATTCTCAAGAAATCCTTACAGGTGAGTATTGGTTCTTTGAGGAGATCCAGGGCTTTGGTAAAGGTCCTAGTCTTTCTTGCTTTAATTCAGAAATTCTTAATACCTAATTCCAATAAAAGATTCACAAGTTCAAAATTAGAGCCATAAAATTAAATTTCCTGAAAGCAAAGATTTTCAATCAGCAAGACGCTATAGGGTATAGATGCAGTAACTATTTTTAAACATAGTTGTTGCCCACCATGAGTTTACAATCTGTCAGGAAGACAAACTAGAGCCATTACCAATCATACACACATGTATGCATACAAATATATATATATATGATGATGATATTGAGATAATAACTGTAAAAATGTTTTGTGCTTGTTTATTTCACTTACTATACTGTCAGCATTTTCTCTACATGTTTAATTATTCTTTGAAGACATAACTTTAAGAAGCTGCATTATTGTCAATCTCATGGTTATATTATAATGTATTTAGTCAATCTGTTATTGTTGATTATTTAGCTTGCTTGCCATTTTTTTGCTACCTGTACACAAAGTCTATGAATAATACAGAGCATCCTTGTACTTACTCTTATCGAATACAGTACTTCTAATTAATTCCCTAGGTAAGTGATAACAGAATTGCTGTGTCGAAGGTTATGAACAACGTGATACACATTGCCAAAATGTTTTCCAGAATGTAACAATTTACATTCCTGCTCAGCTGGATTTCCCTCTTTAAAAAGAAATGAGGGGCCGGGCGCGGTGGCTCACGCCTGTAATCCTAGCACTCTGGGAGGCCGAGGCGGGAGGATTGCCTGAGCTTGGGAGTTGAGACCAGCCTGAGCAAGAGCGAGACCCTGTCTCTACTAAAAACAGAAAAAATTAGCTGGGCATGTTGATGCACACCTATAGTCGCAACTACTGGGCAAGTTGAGGCAGGAGGAGTGCTGAGCCCAGGAGTTTGAGGTTGCTGTGAGCTAGGCTGACGCCACTGCACTCACTCTAGCCCCGTCAACAGAGTGAGACTCCGTCTCAAAAAAAAAAAAAAAAAGAAATAAGGGTGGCTCACGCCCGTAATCCTAACACTTTGGGAGGCCAAGACGGGAGGATCGCTTGAGCCCAGGAGTTCGAGACCAGCCTAAGCAAGAGCGAGACCCCGTCTCTACAAAAAATAGAATAATTAACCGGATGTGGTGGCAGGAGCCTGTAGACCCAGCTACGTGAGAGGCTGAGGCAGGAGGATCGCTTGAGCCCACGAGTTTGGGGTTGCAGTGAGCTATGATGACGCCATGTTCTCTAGCCTGGGCAACAGAGCGAGATTCTGTCGAAAGAAAGAAAAAGAAAAGGAAAGAAAGAAAAAGAAAAGGAAAAAGAAAGAAAGAAGTGGAAAAAAAAGAAAGAAGTGAAAAAAAAGCCTCTAAATTTTACAGTGGAAAGGCATGTCTTTAAGTTTGCATATTTACTCTAACATATATTTTATGACTACACGTTATCAATGCCATTGTAGTATTTCTGTATTGTTTTGTTATTGAGACAGGGTCTCTCTCTGTCGCCCAGGCTAAGAGTGCAGTGGCCCCATCATAGCTCACTGCAGTTTGGAACTCCTGGGCTCAAGCGATCCTCCTGCCGCAGCCTCCCGAGTAGCTGGGACTACAGAAGCGCGCCACTATGCCCGACTGCATTTCTGTTTAACTGACCTTATCAATCAGGTCAGCCAGTGGACCAAACCCTTCAAAGTCTCTATACCCTAAGACAGTGCTTTTTAGACTTCTCTGGGACATGATGATCCTCAAACCTTTGAAGATCTGATGATACCTATAACCGTGTGCCCAGGAAAAAGCACGTACACCCGAAATGTTGCCCACAATTTCTGAATAGTCAGGAACTTTGTCTAGAGACTCCTTTCAGGAACCATCTCTAGAAGCCTATTTTCCTTGTCTACTTCCTGCTACAAAACGAAACATACATCCCACTTCCCGGCCGCGCAGCCCAAAACTAAAACCAAAATCAATTCCAGTGCAAAGCATCACAACCACCCACCCGGCTCCAACCAGAGCATCCTTCTGGCTCAAGTTAGGGTCGGGCGGGGGCGTCTGTAGATGTCCAGAGATGAAACATAGCACGTGAAACCACTAGAAGTGCCTGTCTTGTCCCTTGGCGAAAGCAAATACTTACGAGACATTTTCGTGGCTGTAACCGATTTTTGCGTTGTAGGCTCCATTATCCAGCACTAAGGTCGTCATTTCAGCACCGACCACACGGCAGCTGCCTGCCTTTCCCTTTCCGACCCTTCTGCTCCCGCTTCCTCCCGCACTCTATGGTTTTCTGGGCGGAGCGTTAGGACGCGCTTCCGGTCACCATAGCAACGGGGGACGCCGGAAGTCAGAGACTGCGGAGTGGTCTTCCGTATCAGCGGGCATCTACTGTGCTTCCAAGCCTAACCTGTTTACCTGCTGGCGAGATTCGAATGCTAAGTGCTTTCTGTCCCATTTGGTATTTGCTCTTATCTGCGTAAATTGACTTGCGCTTGAAAATTTTTCAAACCCCTGTAGCGAACCGGCTGCGTGTGTGTGTGTGTGTGTGTGTGTGTCCTCCAATAATATTGTTCAGTTATATTTCTTGGAGAATAAAGCGCAAAACTATACACAGCATGAAATTGGATATGAGGTCTCTCCAGCCTCATTCCCCGGCACTCCGTATCCGATCGTAGGATCCACCCACCCTGAACTGCATATGTGCTGTTCTGTCAATTGCCTCGCTCGTTTACTCACGTTCATACTCTCTTTTCTTGCCTACGTGTTTCTTCAAGACCGAGCTTATGAGTCTTTCTTATCCAAAAAAGTCTTCTTGAAATCTGACATGCTCCCTCTCCCTTCCCTGGAATTAGGAGGGCCTATGTGCACCTGTAATGCCCTGGGGTAATCCTTATATATCACAGTGGTTAAGAGAATTTTTGAAATCCAGACTCTGCCACAATATAGCTGTGTAGCTTTGGATGATGAAGATGATAGTGGTAACTTACACAATGCTTACAGCATGTGGATAAGCTATTACAAAAGTTTTATGGATATTAACTAATTTAATCCTTACACCTCTGTGACTTAAGTATTATTATTATAATGAAAGAAAATAGTGGCTAAGAGTGCAGCCTCTGGGTTCAGACTGCTAGGTCAAATCATAGTTCTGCTACCAACTTGGACAGGTTAGTTAACCACTCTGTGCCTTAGTTTTCTCACATGTAAAATGGGATAATATTAATAACATACTCTTGCAGAATGTTTTTGTTGACCTAAAAAGAAGCTGAGGCAAAATTAATATAAATAGAGTTTATTTGAGCCAAGCTTGAGGACTGCAACCCAGGAGCAAAGATTCAAGTTACCCTGAATATACACTCCTGTTAGCAGCAGTTACAAGTGCATTTTTAAAGGAAAAGAAGAGACAGTTCCTAAGTCGTTTATTAATAATTTATATTAAAATAACATAAGCTATTTATTGGCTATACATTGTTCTTTGTACCACAAAATCCAGCAACATGAAGATAATGGGTGAGGCATCTAGTAAGGAGCACAATGACTTTAACTAATTATCCCCTGCCATGGATGTTGGGGAAGCATCATGATTGAAGTCCCATACTCAGTGTCTCTCTGGGCCTGATAAATTTTGCATACCTCACGTAGCTCCTACTGCTCTGAGCTCTTTTTCTTTTCTTTCCTTTTTTTTTTTTTTTTTTTTTGAGACGGAGTCTCGCTCTGTCACCTGGGCTAGAGTGCGGTGGCATTAGCCTGGCTCATAGCAACCTCAAGCTCCTGGGCTCAAGCAATCCTCCCGCCTCAGCCTCCTGAGTAGCTGGGATTACAGGCGCTTGCCACCAAGCCCAGCTAATTTTTCTATTTTTAGTAGAGACAGGGTCTCGCTCTTGCTCAGGCTGATCTCAAACTTCTGACTTCAAGCTATCCTTCTGCCTCGGCCCCCCAGAGTGCTAGGATTACAGGCATGAACCACAGTGCCTGGCCTGAGCTATTTTTCTTTTTTCAATTTTGTGAAGACTAAATGATAAAATCAAGTACTTGGCAGTAATTATTATAATATCGTTATCTTTATCATATGATCATCTTCTGTCCTTGATCAAGATCATTCTTGTTCTTGGCTTCAGCGATCATTAAATACTGATGAACCCTAAACTAGAACTTCCACTTCTAACTGTAAACTTATAAAGTTTCCACCCTGCAAGCCTTAAAGGCAATAAACCCAACACAATCTTATCTCCAAAACACCTTGTTCCACCTATATCCCAATTAGTGGTGTGCCCCAAACTAAATACCTCAATTGCCTTCAACTCCTATCCTTGATTTAATCTCTGGAATGTCCTTGACCTTCCTCCACCCCTACTGATACTGCCTTATCTCTCACATGGAGTAATGCCACCACTTTCTCAATGCCTTTCCTGCCTCCAGCCTTTACTCCATTCCCTACACTGACAGCATAATTATCAGTAAGTAATAGTAAGTATCAGTAACATTAGGCCACCTACCATTTATAGAAGCTATGAACTTTTGCACTTTTGTCCTTTTCCATAATTGTGCTCTACCTACCTGAAACAAACATCCTTTTCTGCCTAGGGAAGTATTAGGTTATTAAGTATGAAATGTCCGATTTCCTTAAGTACTAAGTTTGACAGTATCTCTGATATTTCACTTTGACACTTCTTGTTTTATTTTTATTGTGAAGGTACATCCTCAGTCTTTCAAACTCATGTTTTGGCTTGTGGTTATCTTTCAAATTTTTTTTAGAGCAATTTTTGTGAAACCATGGATAAGTAAAAAATTCATGTTATGTTCAAATTTGAGTTCCATCATGGAACCAATGCAGCACAGACAGCTCGAAATATCAATGAAGTGTTTGGGAAGGATGTCACTAATGAACGCACAGTACGTTGATGATCTGAGAAGTTTCATTCTGGTGATTTTTATCTTGAAAATGAGCCACGTGGGTGACCTGAGACCAAAGTGGATAATGATGAGCTAAAAGCTGTAGTGGAAGTGAATCCATCTCAACCTATATGTGAATTAGCAGCAAGGTTTGATGTGTGAACTAAAATAAAATTTTAAGGCTCACCCCCCCCCCCACCGGCTGACTAAAAGGACCCCCTCATGGCCAAAGGAATATCCTAAAACTAAATTGCCTGCCAGAAGGAAGGAGGTCAGACATGCCTCATCATGCCCCCCTCCCTTCTTGGTGACATCCTTGTAACCCATTAACAGGCCTAAGGCTATGCAAGACAAACCTGCAGGTCCTCAATTTACACAACAAATCTTTGTCCAGTGGCTTATCTCTGATAAAGAGCTCCTTATGTTGAAACATTCCAAGCCTTTAGGCAAAGCTTCATGTCTTTAACCCATTATAAGCCAAAGAATCTTTAAACCCACCTATAACCTGTAAGCCCCC